TGGGGAACAGGAGCCCTCCCTGGGCTGAACTGGGGGTCAGGAGCCCTCCCTGGGCTGAACTGGGGATCAGCGAATCTCTATTGCTTGCTGTAAATTACCTTGAAGCTCATGAAACCTGGCATCCATGCGATTATTAAAGTCAGTTTGTCTGTTATGCAGTTCACCGAATAGAGAATCTTGCCTATCAAACAGCTCGTGGATCAAAGAGACGATTCTTTCATCTACACTATTGTTCTGATCTGGCTGTGATTCAATGTCCTCCTCGGACGCATCGCCGCCAGCTGATGGTGTTCCCCCACCCCTCTGTGACGAATTTCCACTGTGATCACTTCTCCAACTGGCTCTTTCCCAGTCATTTATTTGTGTATCGGTCCAGTTAGCACATTGTCCGCAATGCGGGGCGATCTGTCTGAAAAGAATAGTAATTTAAATAATTAGTATATGAAAACCACAAATAATATGTTTGAATATAATATTATCTATCACTGCTTTAAAGATTTTCTTTGTTAAATAATAAAAGTATGAAAAATTATAATCTAAAAATAAATATGAAAAGCATACCTTGAATTATCTCAGGTTCGGTATCATCGTTTCGGTCAGGCTCTGATGATCTATCTGAATAGAATAAACAGAGGTTAAACATTGTCAAGACTTTAAAAACAACATGAATATTAAATAATTAGTAAATCTAGAAAATAATAAAGGGGAAATTAGCTAATGAGATTATTGCTAGATAAATCAGAACAAAAATTGCAATAGCAAGACTGAGCCAAAAGATGGCGACAAAGTAGCTTTACCAAAATAGATTGGTCAAAATAGAGCATTCTTTAAAAAAAATTAATAAAAAAAATTAATAAATAAATACAAAATTAATAAATTAAAAAATTAAAAAATAGCAAGACTGCGCCACAAGATGGTGACAAAGTTGCTTTACCAGCTAAAGCATATGTATTAAAAAAAAAATATAAAGTTATCCAAATTAGCTTATGTTAAATAAAAATAACATTATCTATTGAAGAAAAACAATATTAAAAATCTAGAGAAATTAACCAAACAGATTGTGAGATAAAATGGATCAAAATAGATCGGTCAAAATAGAACAGTCTTTTAAAAAACAAAAATAAATAAAATATAAAATAAATAAATAAAAAATAACAAGACTGCTCCACAAGATGGAGACAAAGCTGCTTTACCAGGTAAAGCATATGTATTAAGCTAATTGGATAACTTTATATAATTTTTTTAATGTTAAATAAAAATAACATTATCTATTGAAGAAACAACAATATTAAAAACGTACTGTTGTGTGAATCTTCTCTCGGTGCCGGAATGACCTTGGCGATCGCTCTTTTTTTTCTCAAGGGGCTGTGTGCTGGATTTCGGTTATTGTTAGCGGTGCTGGGACCCGCCTGTTCATCGGATTCATGTGTGAGATCAATAAAATTTGGCTGCGTTATTAACTGGAGCAGGTCTAGAAAAAAAAAAAAGACAGACAATAATTTTCTGCTGTAATTATTTGAAGCAGTGGAACAGTATTTAGCTATAGCTTAGCAACCAAAAACACACGCCTCTCCACGAGGACACCCGACGCTCAAAATGAGATAAGAAAAAAAGAGAAGTTTTACTTTTTAAAAGTATAAAACGTTTACTTTACCATTTTGGGAACCCTGTTCATAGATCAGCTGCACATCCGCTAGAAATAAAAACAAGATCATTTGTCTGATGTAGATATTTAAAAATGATCAAAGGACGCATAGCATTACTAAGTATGCATATTATATCTAACACGTGGCTCTGCGTTAACGCCGCTGCCCTGCATGCAAACAATAAGAGGAACAAACCCTAAGAAAAGTTTAGTTTTTTAAATTATAAAAACAATTACTTACCGTCTTGTTCATCAACCAGCTGCGCGGTCACTACAAATAATAATAATAAAAAACATTTTCAGCTGTAATTATTTGAAGCAGTGGAACAGTATTTAGCTGTAGCTTAGCAACCAAAAACACCCACCTCTCCACGTGGATGACCCAGGCACACAAACAAAGCCAAGAGAAGTTTAATTTTAAAGTATAAGATGAATATTTGTACCATTTTGTGAAACTTCCCCGTCAATCAGCTGTACATCCACTAGAAATAAAGACAAGATAATTTGTCTGATGTAGATATTTAAAAAGATCAATGAATACATAGCATTACTAAGCAAACATAATACATCCAACAAGTAGCTCAGCGTTAACGCCTGGGACCATCCGTGCAAGACAAAGGAGGAACGAATCCCAACAAAAAGTTTAATTTTTAAATGATAAAAACAATTATTTTACCGTCTTGTACAGAAGAATCGTGATGCTTGCACTGGGGATCCTTTCTCTGTTTCCCTGAAAAATGTAAGACAATTTATATTTTTATTGATTTATTTTTCAGTTCATTCATATGCTTGAGAATCTTTTAATACTGTCGTCAGATTATATGCAAACACACACACACACAATACATTTCTTGATTAGATTTTAAGGATAAAAATAACGTATTAAAGGTAACGAGAATACCTTACAAGATAATGAATATTTGTTTTAATATTGAATGTTTGAAGTATATTATTCTATATTAAAATTGGCAATTCTCACAAAGGTTGTAATTTTATAAATAACCACCAGAGGGCATCCAAGCTCTATGGCATATCTCCTCACACTGCGGATGTGAAATCACGGGGCCATCCTGATTTTTAACACCAACAGTGATACTTAATTGCATAGTATAAAAGTCTCAAATTTGTTATCGTTTTAGCTAACGCCAGAGAAACTATCAGAGAAATATAGATCCATGACTAATGAGAAATATTTGCTCTTGTCTCTGGACCATATGTGAAAACACGTTAATGTGTTTTTCATGGCCTTTTGAACTCTGTACCATATGTGAAAATAGTTTAGGAATGCCCACATTACAACCGTGACAGAAGACAATATTTTTCATTGCCACAGCTAGATTAACGACGCGTTTACATAAACGTCTTAAAGGGATTAGTTCGCCCTGTGAAGCAAAAGGCCTGTCTCTCGGCATGCATCTGGATAAACATCTTAAAAGGAGATAGATCGCTGTGTAGCAAAAGGTCTGTCTCTCGGTATTCATCTGAATAAACATCTCGAAAATTGAGGGTAACTTTTTTGTTTTTCAAGCAGAGCCATCACGACCCCCTCCCTTTCAGAACTCTTTTCACTACTCTGTGCGAGAAACACAGAGAGAGAGCGATACTGATTTAAAGTTTATACATGACACATTTTAGTATTCATTTCATTTGAAGAATCGTGATGCTTGCACTGGGGATCCTTTCTCTGTTTCCCTGAAAAATGTAAGACAATTTATATTTTTATTGATTTAT